CCCCCCCAGCATCCTTCCCACCGCCCAGCCTCTTTCTCCCAGGCCGCTGCCCGGCCGCCCGGCCGCCCTCGGCCCAGCCAATCAGACGTCAGCATTGGCAGCAGGCGCCGGCCAATCGGCTGCCGGCATTCGCTGGAAACGCCAAGCCCTGAGGGGAAAAGCAATAACAAAAGCCTTTCACTGCAGACAAATGTTAAGTGTCTGCGCAGACTTTTCCTGTTTTTAATTTTATTACTGCAAGAATGGAGGGTTTGTTGTTTCTTTCATGTTTCCTTTCAAGCAATTTTAATTATACATTTGTGCTACATCAGGGGACTCTGGAGCGCAGTGATTTCAGCCTATTGCATCTAAAGCTAAAATGCAGTAACCTTCTGGCAATACAGATATATTCCTGCACTGTAAATATAGCTGACATGCTAACGAATTTTAAGCAGCTGTGAAGGTCTTTGACACCACACACAGTGCCCCAGAGAGCAGATGATGAGAAAACCAGCCCAGCCTTCCCTCCCCTGAAGGATATGCTCATAAAGAATCCTTTCCTCCAATTGTTCTGTGACTTTGACCAAACGCCTAATTACCATTGATTCTCATCGCAATATGAATTTCTATACTAAATGGTTTTTTTTTTTAATGAAAACTTCCTGAGGGAATTACAAACGACTCAGCCAGGATGTAAGGAAATGCTTGCCTTGCTCTCTCCAAGTTTTTCTTCCTGTACTAGACCATTGCTGTACTAGACCATTTACGGGGAGTAAATTCAACTGTCACATAAGCAGTAACAACACAGACCATATGGGAAACAATTTTAAAATCTCCATTTAATACTTTTAAAAGAAAATCTTTCCCCACTGCTTGTGTCCCAATCATTGAAATGTTTTACTTGCTGTTCAAAGATTCTCAGGGAAATGGGTCTTACACTGTGAGATTTCCCTTTCAATGAGTGAGTTTAGGTCAGGTGTTCTGTAACATTTAAATAGACATGAAACATGATTCTAATTATGAAAGATGAGAGGAAGGGAGAGGGGAAAGATGGAGAGCGAATAATTTCAAAATACACGTTCCAACTATTTTTGAAGACCGAGTTAGGAACCTCAATGAAAGCTGTAGATTAGTAAGAGCTTGGGGATGGGGGAGGGCAGGGAAAGTGAAAGAAATAGAGGATTATTATGAGGAAAAAATATGAACACTAGAATAATATAAAACACTAGATTAAAATCTCTTGGTGTAGTTAATGCGCGCACGCACACACACACACACACACACACAAGATAGGCTCTGATGGGGGCAGAGAGGGGCACCAACAAACAGGGTGGTCTAACAAAGAGAGTGAACATCAGATATGGTTGAAGTAGTTTATTTGCATATATGAAAATTGAACAATGAAACCTGGTGAAATTGTTTTAGAAGGACAGAGTGGGTTGGGAGAGGGCCACAGAGGTGGGGAGATTGATCAGAATACACTGTATACATGTGTGGAAATGTCATGATGTAACCTCCTTTTGTACAACTAGAGTATTAAAAAGAAAAAAAAAAAACAACTCGAAATGGCAGTGGTAGCGCAAGTGAGCAGGCTAGCCAAGAGCAGTCTGTGAAGTGTGTGTGGAGGGATGGGCTAAGGAGAGCAGGGAAGGAAAGCGAAGGTACCTGATTGTGTGTTATATATGTCTCGGAATCAAGGTTCTTTAAAAATATGCTTTAAAGGAAGTTGTTTTTTTTTTCTAAGTGGCTCTTGTCCTCAAGAGAAATAAAGAGGATGCCATATTTTGTTTCTCTGTGGCATTTGGTATACTAAGTGCACTTAAGTTTAGTAATTCACAGATGCAGTGCTAAATTAAATTGTCTGTCTGTAAAGCAGTGGGGAAAAGCAGAATGGCTTGCAGGAAGCAAGTGTGTTGGTTTTGAGATTTCTTTTCTAATCCTCTGTGGCAAATGCTTACCCAAGTTGATTCTAAAGATAACCCCAAGAGCAAAGCTATTGTGCACATTTATTTTCTTAAGAGGGCTATTTTGGGAATCCTTAATATGAAACAAGTCCAAGCAGTGAAGCAGAGACTGTACCACGGCTGATCATTGTCTCACAGAGTGGAGGAGGGAAAGATTAGAAAGGAGAAACGATAGCCGTGTGTCTGCTCTCTGGATTCTGTGTTTCCACATTTCCCCTCTGCACCACTTTTTATGCACATGCATAATTTTTTTTCTTAACAAAAAAAATCAACATTATTTTATGTTGTTGAATTGAAAACAAAACCAATTCCTTTCCGTCTTGTTCTGGTTTAAGCACTGGTAACTGGCGCTTAGTTTATGTTGGCTGCCTGCCAAACGAAAGCAATTATGTGTAATAATAGAAAAATTAAGAGGTGAGTGTTGCTGTTTTACAGCAGGACATGGCAAAAACCATTTCCTTCTGTCAGCAGTATCTTGATTACACTCTCACACACAGTCTCGCCCTTTTGTGCCACATGCGCATGCGCATGAATACACACACACACATAATTTCCTGTGGGTTTTGACTTGAGGTCACTGAAACCAGAAAGGGGAAGAATGAAAACCACAGCGTTTGAAAGCAAACGAGAACAGATCTTTGCTGGTAAAAATAATAATAACCGTAAATGAAGTGGAAATAAAATAATCTGTGTTAAATGCGGTCCCTTTTCATTCCCCACCCCCACCCCGCAGGTGTCCTCGTGGTCAACGTCACATGGAGGAACAAAACTTACGTGGGGACCCTGCTGGACTGCACCAAGCATGACTGGGCCCCTCCCAGGTATGCATCTGGTATTCCTGGCTTTCCCCCACCCACTCTTTTGCAAGGAAACTATAGAAAGAGATTAATAATACATAAACGTCTTGCTGTAATTGAAACCAGGCAACAGAGAAACCCGCGGTTCAGTACTGAACCCAGTACAATGCAGATGCTGGCTTTCTTTTCTGTCAGGAGAGCTCCACTCGCCAGCCCTTCTCTCTCTCCCTTTGTTTTCTTCTTTGTCAAAATGGGAGTTGGAGCTGATTGGAAGCTAGCGAGCTACCTGAACTGTTTCTTTGATTTTTTTCCTGAGGACAAATATAAGCTGGAATGGAGCCGCCTTCCTTGGCCCGACACGGGCCCCCAGTTCAAAGGTGTTGGCTCCTCTTTGTTGTACTGTTTACCTTGTGATTTCACCTGGCTCTTTGGGGACAGGATCATTGTAACATCTGTTACTTGCTTCTCTAGGTTTTGTGAATCACCAACAAGCGACCTGGAGATGAGAGGAGGCCGGGGCAGAGGGAAGAGAGCCAGGTCGGCCGCGGCGGCCCCCGGCTCTGAGGCTAGCTTCACGGAGTCCAGGGGGCTGCAGAGCAAGAACAGAGGGGGCGCCAACGGCAAGGGGAGGCGCGGCAGCCTCAACGCCAGTGGGCGAAGGACACCCCCAAACTGCTCTGCGGAGGACATCAAAGCCAGCCCCTCCTCCACCAACAAGAGGAAAAACAAGCCTCCCATGGAGCTGGACTTAAACTCCAGCTCGGAGGACAGCAAGCCCGGGAAACGCGTCCGCACCAACTCCAGGAGCACTCCCACCACCCCACAAGGAAAACCTGAGACTGCTTTTTTGGACCAAGGCTGCTCTTCTCCGGTGTTAATTGACTGCCCCCACCCAAACTGCAACAAGAAGTACAAGCACATTAATGGCCTGCGGTACCACCAGGCACATGCACATTTAGACCCCGAAAACAAGCTGGAGTTTGAGCCCGACAGCGAGGACAAGATCTCAGACTGCGAGGAGGCCTTGAGTCATGTGGCTCTCGAATGCGGTGAGCCGAGCACCAGCGTGTCAGCCTATGACCACGTGAAGGCACCCATGTCCCCTGGGGCTGGGAACCCTCCTGGGACCCCCAAAGGAAAGAGGGAGTTAATGAGCAACGGCCCAGGTTCTCTAATTGGCTCGAAAACTGGGAAAAACTCTGGGAAAAAGAAGGGTCTTAACAGTGAGCTGAACAACCTTCCGGTCATCTCCAACATGACAGCCCCGTTAGACACCTGCCCGGTCCCCGATGGCAGCTTGGCTGCGGAAATGCCCAAGCTGGAAGCAGAAGGCCTGATTGACAAGAAAACCCTGGGAGACAAAGAAAAGGGTAAAAAAGCTAACAATTGCAAAATGGATAAAAACCTCTCCAAACTGAAAAGCGCCCGGCCCATTGCCCCGGCCCCAGCCCCCACGCCCCCCCAACTCATCGCCATACCCACCGCAGCCTTTACCACCACCACCACGGGCACCATCCCGGGACTGCCCTCCCTCACCACCACCGTCGTCCAGGCTACACCAAAGAGCCCTCCGCTGAAACCCATCCAACCAAAGCCCACCATTATGGGAGAGCCCATTACTGTGAACCCCGCTCTAGTGTCCCTCAAAGACAAAAAGAAAAAGGAGAAACGAAAGCTTAAGGACAAAGAAGGGAAAGAGACAGGAAGCCCGAAAATGGACGCTAAGCTGGGGAAACTAGAGGACTCGAAGGTGGCTGGCAAAGACTTGCCTGGGCATTTTTTAAAGGATCATCTCGGTAAGAACGAAGGGCTGGCCAATGGGCTGTCGGAGTCTCAGGAGAGCCGGATGGCCAGCATCAAAGCTGAAGCCGACAAGGTGTACACGTTCACCGACAACGCCCCCAGCCCCTCCATCGGGAGCGCCTCGAGGATGGAGTGCAGTGCGCTGGTGAACGGGCAGACGCCCATGGCACCCCTGCACGTGTTGACCCAGAACGGGGCTGACGGTTCAGCTGCCAAGACCAGCAGCCCCGCCTATTCCGACATATCTGATGCTGCGGAGGACGGCGGCTCCGACAGCAGGTCAGAGGGCATGAGGTCAAAGGCCAGCTCCCCGTCAGATCCCATTTCTGGGAAGGACGGTGTCGTCAAAGGGCATTCCTCCACAACAGCGCAATCGTCGCAACTGAAGGAGTCCCACTCTCCCTATTACCATGGCTACGATCCGTACTATTCTCCAAGTTACATGCACCCAGGCCAGATCAGTGCCCCCACGGCGGGGAGCAACGGGAGCAACCAGGGAATGAAGATCAAGAAGGAGTCGGAGGAAGATTCAGAGAAGAAAGACAAGACAGAGCAATTAGAGGCTAAGAAAGTGGACCACCCCTCTGCCTCCCTGCAGCCCCAGCACCAGTCGGTGATCACGCAGAGACACCCAGCTCTGGCCCAGTCACTGTATTATGGCCAGTATGCCTATGGACTTTACATGGACCAGAAGTCTCTCATGGCTACCAGCCCCGCCTATAGACAGCAATATGAGAAGTACTATGAGGATCAGAGGCTGGCAGAACAGAAAATGGCCCAGACTGGGAGGGTCGACTGTGAAAGGAAGTCTGAGCTCCCCTTGAAAGAGCTGAGCAAGGAAGACAGTAAGCAGAAAAACATGCCATCAGCCACCATCTCAAAAGCCCCCTCTACTCCAGAGCCTAACAAAAACCATGCTAAACTAGGGCCGTCGGGGCCCAGTAAGAGTGAGGAGACAGGTAAATCGCAGCTCCTCTGCAATCACCAGCAGCAGCTTCAGGCCGACAGCTTCAAAGCTAAGCAGATGGAAAACCACCAGCTAATTAAGGAGGCTGTAGAAATGAAATCCGTCATGGATTCTATGAAGCAGACAGGTGTAGACCCAACCTCAAGATTTAAACAAGTAAGATTGTGGAATGTGGCCCCAACAGGGAGAGCACAGGCTGACACGTGTGCTCATGTCTGGGCTTGATCTGGTTAGACTTCTTCTATAGGAGGAAACCCATAGCGGGGTTTCTTGCCTCTTTCTCTTGAAATGTATCTTAGCGGATTCTTGGGAGTTATTGTGTCACTCTAAAATGTACGCGTCTTGTCATGGTGTCCAGTGAAGGGTCCTGAGAATGCACTCTGCAGATGTGTGTCCCACACCATCTAACCTTGAGTCCGGGATGAAAGCATTCCTTCTCAGAACTGCTGACTTCTCCCAAACTCTGGAATTCGACATTAATTGTTCTGTATTTCTGAGTATTTACATCTACTGAGAATTTTAAAACCGAATTCCTGAAGGCGCATTTTCAGTGTATCATTTTGATAAAACGTGGGGCTCCTGTGTCTTTCACATAGGGTCCGAAGATGCCTGACAGCTCTTGTACGTTCAGCATTAAGTACCCAGAGCAGAGCTGAGTGACATCCATTTTATGAGGAAGGTCAGATGTTGGGTGATGTTGGGTGATGGGCCTTAACCGTTGTCCCAGAGCCCCTTGGTCAGCCAGGTTGAGAACACCTGAATTCAGATCAGTCACCATGAGACCGCACATGTGCCAGCACTTTGTGTCATGGTCCAGATGTCCTGACTTGCTGCTGTCTGGCGAGCATGCACTCTGGTTATTTCCCAAAACCCCCTGCCCCCAAACCTCCTGCACTTGCTGTGTTCAGACCCTGGTGAATCAGAAGATTCCCCATCTGCATTTCTTCCCTAGAGGATGGGATTCAGGCCTGCATCTTGAACGCTCGCCTGGACTCTAAATGCCCTGTGGGTCTGTACCGGGCGTGGGGTGGGAGGTCTCAAGGAACACTTGATGTTTTCAGTTCTGCTTCTGCTGAGGCCTGAATGAGGCTGCTCTTTCCCAGGGGTGCATCAGTACAATTTGGGGAGCTTGTAGTTGGCTTTGCTTTCTGATAGAGAAGCTATAATGTGGGCTATTACTTTGAAATTTTGTTTGGATTAAGTTGTTAGAACATAATGAGAAGTGAGCCAATATATTAAGCCTCAGCTGTAGTACATGAAGAAAATATATTAGGAAACCAAGAGTTTTCCCTTCTAAGTGACATTAATAGCTGTAGTAATTACTTAAATTTACTACTGTTAGCTTGAGCTAGAGTTTTTAAAAAATCCTTTTTACCTGTGTGAGACATTAAAAGGGAAAATGAGGATTGGATTAAATATGTCTGAGGGTGTTATTTAATGTGAAAAATGACATTCAGAGCTCTGATTGGAATTCCAACAAACCTGAGTTTGAAAGCCCTGATGTTGCTTGAACTTTAAAAGCACTGGTTTTGTCAAGCATTGGCGGCACACACCGATAACCCTAGCTACTCATGAGGTTCAGACCTGAGGTTCAAGGTTCAAAGGCAGCCCAAATAGACAAATCCAAGAAACTCTTACCATCGATTAACCAACAAAAAGTTAAGACAGAAAGTGTGGCTGCAATGGTAGAGCTCGGTCTTTGAACAAAAAAGCCAAGGGTCCTGATTTCAAGCACTCAGTACCAGCACACACGTGTACACACACACACACACACACACACATGCACGCAGCTTTGGTTTTCATCTTTTGTGTAATGACTTCATTATTTTATGAGAGGAAGAGTAACCCAGTGCCCAGCACAAAAACAAATGTTGTCTTAATATGAGAAGTAATCGTAGTAGTAGCGGTATTGTCATAATGATTGAGGGGGTTGCATTAAAAAGTAAAATTTTAAGACACATCTTTTTTTTTTTTTTAAACCTCCAGGATCCAGATTCGAGGACATGGCATCATTATGTATACCAACCCAAATACCTGGATCAGCAAAAGTCAGAAGAACTTGACAGAGAGAAGAAATTAAAAGAAGATAGTCCAAGGAAAACTCCGAATAAAGAGAGTGGCGTGCCCAGCCTTCCCGTGTCACTAACAAACATAAAGGAGGAGCCCAAAGAGGCCAAGCGTCTTGATTCTCAGTCCGTGGAGGAAAACAAGTTGAAAAATGATGATCGAAAGACTCCTGTGAACTGGAAGGACTCTCGGGGAACCAGAGTGGCTGTGTCCTCCCCCATGAGCCCACATCAGTCGTACATCCAGTACCTGCATGCGTATCCTTACCCACAGATGTACGACCCCAGCCACCCCGCGTACCGGGCCGTGTCTCCTGTCCTAATGCACAGTTATCCTGGTATGTGCCGAGTTCAAATGACATTGGTAGGGGAAAGGCTATGTTCAGATAGTCGCTTTTAGAAACTCAAGATATAATTACAAGCTTCAAGAATGATGTTTGTTTTGCTTGTTTTTATGCTGCTCATGTTCCAAAGATGAAACTGATTTAATGTTTGTTTTTGTTTTTTTTTTTTTTAATGAAATGTCAGGAATCTACAGCTTTCTTAGGTTTTGATGGTCTGCTGCAGACATTAGGCTGACAGATACTTTATTGTCTAGGAGAATATCCTAAGTACTGACTGTCATAATCATTATAGTTGCTATTTCTTTCCCTCAAGGGGACACATAAAATGTACAAAGTGGCTATAAGCTCTATTCTGTTTGTAACCTTTGTTCATTGGGATGAATTAACTGGAGAAGAAAATCAGGACCTAGATACAGTTAACAACGATGTAGCCCATTCTTTATACAACCCTCTTTTTAAAAAGATGTCTGGTCCTTATCCCAAATTCATAGAACCCAAATGGCTTTTTCTTTTTAAAGATGTAGCCTGTAACTTGATGTGGCATTTGTTGTTTATCTGCAGGGGCCTACCTCTCTCCAGGATTTCATTATCCTGTTTATGGGAAGATGTCAGGAAGAGAGGAGACAGAGAAAGTCAATACCAGCCCCAGCATCAACACGAAAACAACCACTGAATCCAAAGCGCTGGACTTGCTCCAGCAGCATGCCAACCAGTACCGCAGCAAGTCTCCCGCCGTAAGCCTCCTTTTATTGCTCCTTGAAAGGCCTGGCTTGTGGGAGGGGGCAGACAAGGGCAATCTAGACTACACAGTCTTGAAATACAAATGGTTTGGGAACCCAGCTGTGATTTCAGGATGCTGTTTTATTCTAATGCATAAAGAATAAAACGTAAGATGATCTCTCACAGAACAAAATAGTGTTGAAGCATGCATGACGGCAGTCAGCTTTTCTCTTTCAAAATACAGCACACATTGCCGATCCACAAGGGAGCTTGTTAGGTGGGAACTTCCATGACAGGATATGACTTTGGGTGAAAATTATCATGGACAAAGGATAATACCCTTGTAACTAAGTAGTTAAGAGGCTACAAACCAAATGTTGAACTATTTGTGTGTGTGGGGGGGGGTGTGCGTGCATGTGCATGTGTGCGTGCGTGCTGGTCCTAGGGCTTGAACTCTGGGTCTGTGTACTGTCCATGTGTAAAGTGTGTGTGTGTGTGTGTGTGTATGTGTGTGGGGGGTGTATATACTTAAGATTAATGTTCTACTACTTGAGCCACAGCTCTACTTCTGGTTTTAATGGTGCTTAATTGAAGAGTCTCACAGACTTTCCTGCCTGGGCTGGCTTTGAACCATGATTCTCAGATCACAGCCCCCTGAGTAGCTAGAACCACTGGTGCCTGGCAAGAATTGCTTTTTGATCACCTGAGGAAAACATGGATGCCACGTAGCTTACTTTAGAAGGAACTGTTCTTTATTGTAGGTTTAATTGCAATGGAAAAATCATGCATGTCTTTTGAAATTATCCTCAATTAATACAGTATTCTAAGGAGAGTACTCTATTACGTGAGCCACAGCTCCACTTCTGGTTTTGGATTATTCATTGGAGATAAGGGTCTCTAGTACTTTCCTGTCTTGGCTGGCTTTGAACCAAGATCCTCAGATCTCAGCCTCCTGGGTGGCTAGGAGTACAAGGTGAACTCCAGTCCCCAACTTCTTCTCCCTGTCCTTTTGATGAATGGATACAGGATTGCTGTGGCGTTAACAACGGTTTCATTCTCTTGCAGCCTGTGGAAAAGACTTCGGCGGAGCGGGAGCGGGAAGCAGAGCGGGAGAGGGACCGCCACTCCCCCTTCGGCCAGCGGCACCTGCACACGCACCACCACACCCACGTTGGCATGGGCTACCCTCTGATCCCTGGGCAATACGACCCTTTTCAAGGTCAGCAGCTCTCTTGTTCTTCTATCTCCTTAAATGAGGCTTTACTAAAACTGCCGGTCCCAGTGTTAAAACAAAGATAACAATAGCTCCTCAGGGAGAGGGGCAGGAGACTCGTGCCTGCACACACACACACGCACACACACGCACGCACGCACGCACGCACACGCACGCATGCACGCTCGAGGCTTTCCCATTGCTGGGCTGGTCCTTCACCAGTTGAGCCACACCACCCCTGGAAGCCCAAGGTAGTTCTTGCAGCCCTTATGGGCTCCCGAGACTGGGGAGCATTTTGAACTTATTTCCTGGCATTTCCTAGTGACACAGATAAGTCCATTCCCACATGTAGAAATGGCGGCCACTTAATAACTGTCACTGGTTGATGTTATCAGAGGCTTACTGTTATCTCTAAGACTGAGGGTGGCGGCCAGTGTCTGGGGCATTGAATATAACAATCAGAAGATCAGATATCTACTTCTGGGAAATTGTAGAGCAGAGGAAGGGAGAGGGAGAGGCTTGGGTGAAATTATTTGTCCTGATATCTGTAGGCTTTTGAAGTTGCTATTTTCCCATGCAAATAACGGTAGGAGTGTAGCAGGTGGTAACACTTGGTAGCCAAATCCAGGAGCTGCTCCAGCCCTTCACTGCTGTACAGGCTCTTACTAAACACGAAGGTCTAGAAAGGGAACTCTTCTGTGAAGAAGCTCTGACGTGACATGAGGGCATCCATTGGTGGTACACTAGTTGAGCATGCTTGTCCCACTCTGCCCCCTTGTAAGGGCAGGCAGTGACGATCGTTACCAACTGAGCAATCTGCCCGGGGTCTTGTCTTTCTCAGCTCAGGCAGTTATAATGAAGCACCGCAGAGTTCAACAGTAGATACTTATCTTACAGTTCTGGAGGCTGGAAGTTGGAGATTGGGGTGCCAACTATGCTGGTTGGTTTTTTATTATTATTATTGAGTTGTTGAGGTACTGGGGTTTTAACTCGGGGCCTAGCCCTTGCAGGACCATGCTTCCAGCTCTTTCATGCACTGACTATTTTTGAAATAGAGTCTCCCTTCCTCCCCAAGCCTAATCCATCGATTAGGCTTCTCTTTGTGCCTGAGATGGACCGTGTCCAGCTCCTTCCATTGAGAGGGAGTCTCTTTGTCTTTTCTGATTGGGCGGGTCTGCCATCCTCCTGAACTTGAACTTGGCCTTTTAGGTAGCTAGCTAGGGTGACAGGTACATTCTACTATGCTCAGCTATCCCTTGGAAACAGATCTTTTGAATTTTCCTGCCCAGGCTGGCCTCAACCTCAATCAGTCCTCCTGTTCTCAGCCTCCCAAGTATCTGGGATGCTAGGTGTGAGCCACTGTGACTGGTTTTCTGACTGCTTTTGGTGAGGACTCTCACTAGTAGGTGAGATGTCATACACATGGTACTCCTATGTGCGAATGTGGCCTTTAGTTTTGTTTATTCTCGTTACGTGATATTAAATGAGAGTCTAATCCATTACGTGATATTAAATGAGAGTCTAATCCATTATAGCTATGTGTATATGAGAACATGAGCATATCTTCTCATTTTCATATGTTATCGTATATGCTTTTACTGCTATAGTGTCTTAAATTATCTCTAGGGGAAAAAAAGAAAATACATCCAAGTAAAGAACATAGAAGAACATAATTTTCTCTCTGATTTTAATTACTCTATTTTCCCCAGAACTATTTCCTGTAGAAGATTTAAAAATTCTCTCTTACACAGCTTAATGCAATTTGGAACTGTTGCATTTTATCTTTACTAATGGAGACTATTTTGAAGTTTGATTTAGAACTAGAAAGCTTGTTAAATTTGATTTGCTGATTCCACATATGTTATGAGATATGTGTGTTTAAATCACCGAGGAAAAAAATGTCAGTATGATAAGAATTATTATAAAAGCATTCTAAGTAAATAGCAGGTTGCTTCTATAATTCTCGGTGACTTTTGCTTCCTATTGTTAGCTGGTATCTTTTTTCTCTCTCCTGAGCTTTCTATTCAGGAATGCATGCAAACCATTTAGCACCATGAGAGCCAGCGAGATGGAATGCTATATCCCCTTTGAATAGCGATTGGAGAGAACACAGAGTGTTCCTTAAATGGATATTGGGTGGAACAAGTGGTTCCCGTCTGCCCTTGCTGCATAGAACACGTTGTATGCCCAGAAACGGACACAGGTTGCGGGATAGGCTTTGCCCCCTACCACTGGCCATGTACATACTCTTCCCTTTCTAAATGTCATGGAAACGCTATGATTTTTCCCCCACCATTATAGGCTTGACCTCGGCTGCCCTGGTTACCTCTCAGCAGGTGGCTGCCCAGGCCTCGGCATCGGGAATGTTCCCTGCACAAAGAAGGTAAATATCCACAGGGAATTTGAAATTCCCTTTGTAGACAGAGACATCTTAAGGATTCCCAAGAAGCAAGTACACCCTTGGTAGATGAAAAATATAGTTCCTTTTGGTTTGTTTTTGGGTTTTGGTACCAGTACTAGGGCTTGACCTGGGGACCTGTCCTTTAGCTTTTTCACTCAAGGCTGGGGGCCTACCACTTGAGCCACAGCTCCACTTCTGGCTGGCACCGAACCATGATCCTCAGTACTCACCCTCCTAAGTAGCTAGAATAACAGGTGTGTGAACTACTGGTGCCCAACGTATTTTAGTATGCTTAAATAGAAGCAGAAAATGGATCCACCCATTTATTTTAACACTAAAGGCAATGTTGGTTCTATGATATCTTAAAATCCTAACTGCACGAGAAACTAAGATCAAAAGGATTGCAGTCTTAGGCCAGCCCAGGCAGAAAGAAATGCGCAAGATTCCATCTTGGAAGAAGCTAAGAGTGGTGGCAGGTACCTGTCATCCAAGCTATGCTGGGAAGCAAAGAATAGCAGCCCAGGCATGGACCCCAGGCAGGAGGGCACAGTGAGATCGATCAGAAAAATAATCAGTACAAAAAGGGATGGGAGGCATGGTTCAGCAGCAAAGCACTCCCCCCCAAAACATCCAAAAACCAAAGAGGAGGATAATTTAAATGAATTAACCTATTGATATAAAATTAGCATTTTCTCCAAAATGTATACTATTACCCTCTCTGGAACGGCATTCGACGAATTGAATAAAACTAAATAAACCTTTCAGTCTTACTGTCCTGAGAATTTTATGATAGACACTGATGGAACCCTGGGCTAAGATGTGCTTTTCTTTTGCAGAGAATAACAAGATTGGCAGTGTACGTTGTCATGTGACTGGATCACATGGAGAAGCGCTTTATACAGACATCAGTTCCATGGTGTTAATTTGAAATGCCTTAATGGCAGGCAAAAACCAGTCATTTCATTTTTGTAAATTACAGATTTTATCACAGAGTAACAAATGTTGCTGTAATTAACTTCTGTTTTATATATATATACGTATACATATCTGTATATATACATATATATATATATATAAATATATATATAAATATATTCTTTACTTTTTGTATCAGTAACCAGGCTCGCACCACACAGGGTCTGTTGCCAAACCACTCAGTAAAGGAGAATTTAAAAAAAAATGTATTTGTCACATTGCGAAGTGTTAGCCACAAAAGGCTGCTTACTTTTCTTTTTCCTTTTCCTTTTACATTGTAAATAAATAATGTTATATATCAGTGTGCCTGAACCCAGCATACCCTCCATCTATTTCCCATCAGCCCCTCAGCAAGGCGAACTGTGATGATGACACTTGGTGCAATTGACGATGCCCCGGATGTAAACGTTCTCGTAGTCACTGTTTGTACTTGTGTATTGTGGAAAGAAGTACTTTGGAAGGCACGGGGTTGCCAGTACCACAAAAACTGTGTTGTATATAATGTAAAGATTAAAACGGGGAAATGATGAGCATCTGTGAATAATGAAGTGTCATTGTTTTGATAATCCTGAATGGCGGATAACCCAATAGCCTGCACACCAGAGACATCCGTGATTGTTCTATTACTTGAATAGTCCTGCAGTCTTTTTTTTTTTTCCTTAATGTTTACAATTATCCAGTTTTAGAAGAGAGAGACTTTAACGCCATTGCCTGGTTACTTGTTTTATGCTGTAATCTAGTTTATTTTATGTAAAATGTATATTGAATGCTTTCCTTTTTTATACCTGCCTTAAATAATTTGGCAATCAGAATTAAAAAGGTTTTTTTTTTTAATAATGCCTTTCTGTCTGTCTCATGTTCTTTCTATTTGACTGATCGTGATTATAACTTTCAAAGAAGGGTTTTTGTGGTTTAGTTTTAATTGTGTATGTGTGTGTGCATGTGTGTGTGCACGTGTGTATACACGCATGTGTGCACTCATCCTACAGATTCAACTTGAGGCCTGGGTTCTTTCCTTGAGCTTGTGTACTAGAAGCTTGTGCTCTACCATTTGAGCCACTGTTGTACTTCCAGCTTTTTAGTGGTTGATTGGGAATAGGAGTCTCATGGACTTCCCTGGTTTGGGTGTAGACTGTGATCCTCAGAGCTCAGCCTCCTGAGTAACAAGGATTTTACAGGCATGAGCCACCAGTGCTTGACCTAAACTCTTAAGATATAGTACCCCTTCCTCACGTGACACAACTGCTGTACTTAATTTTGTGAATATATATTGACAAGAGATTTACTTCAGGGGCTGGGAAGGTGGCTTAATGCTAGAGAGCTTGCCTTACATGCATGAGGCCCTGGATTTGATTCCTCAGCACCACATAAGCAGAAAAAGCCACAAGTGGCACTGTGGCTCAAATGCTAGAGCGCTAGCCTTGAGCTGAAGAGCTGAGGGACAGTGCCCAGAGTAGAGTTCAAGCCCCATGACCGACAAAAAAAGATATTTACTTCAAACATGGAAGCACAACACTGCGTTCTGTGGTATGGAATCATGTTCTTATGACATGTGGACAGTAGATACAAACACACAGAAATTCAGTCAGTTGGATGATCACTACAATGATGTACTAGACTATTTTATGCCAAATTTTAACTCCTTGACTTTTTCTTTCTTCTTATCTTTTTTCCTTCCATCTAACAAATACCTGTGCCAGGAGCTCCTAGCTCACATTTATAATGTTAGCTATTCAAGAGGACATCTGAGGCTCATGGTTCAAAGCCAGCTCCAAGCAAAAGAGTCCATGAGACTCTTATTTATTTATTTATTGGTCGGTTGTGGGACTTGAACTCTGGGCTTGGGTGCTATCCCTCAGCTCTTCAGCTCAAGGCGAGCACTCTACCATTTGAGCCACAGCACCACTTCCAGTTTTCTAGTGGTTTATTGGAGATAAGAGTCCCATGGACTTTCCTTCCCCAGGCGGGCTTTGAACCGTGATCCTCAGATCTCAGCCTCCTCAGTAACTAGGATTACCGGCGTGAGCCACCGGCACCGGGCTCCATGAGACTCTTATCTCCAATTAACCACCAAACTGCCATGTGGCATCTCTCACATGGTAGAAAACCAGGTTTGAGAATAAAAGCAAAAAAAAAAGGAAGAATACAAAGCCCTGAGTTCAAGCCCTAGTACCAGCATTCACATGTGCATGCACATGCACACACATACACACAAACACACTATTGAGAACCTACCCGAGTTTAGGAGGACCATTCAGGGTCCTGGGATATCATTACAATAAACAAAAGCAGACACAAATTCCTACCCTCATATACCTTGTATTTTCTAGTGGGTGGGACAAACATATAAAGTATATAGGAATATACAAAATATGTTAGATGGTTCATGAATGCTTTAACAACAAATAAAAAGCGGAAGCGGAAGGGCCTTGTGGTACACACGAGTAAATAGAGCTTTCTAGGCCATTGCTAAATTCTTACCAATTTACTAAATTGATGAAGAAAGAGGTCCAGGCCTACTTCAGCGGGAAAAGCATGCTGGGAGATGGGAAAGTAGGCCTGCAGCCCTCAGGTGAGAGTATGCTTGAGTTTTTGTGCAATTAAAGGGATGTTAGTAATAACCCCCAAACCCAAAGCCCCCTGCGTCCTAACCCCAAGCCCCACCTCATCCAGCTAGATTGATTTCATTGATTGCTTTCAACTCACAGTTTTTATGACTTTACCATAACTGCTAATGACAGTTCTTCCACATGGTTCACTAAAGAGTGCTTTAAGTGACAAAAGTGCTCTTAAGTAACAAATTTATCTAGGTATTCTTGGCTAGTTCTACTTAGACTCCTCGGCTTCACAGTTGAATTGATTTTTGCAATCGCAAAGAAATGACTGCTTCAGATAGACCACCTTAGACGTAGCCTTTGCCTTCTGCCTCACAAATTGAATTCCTGTAGAAAGAGGAGAGTGTCTTTCAACTCTTTCTCCTCTTCCTCCTCCTCCTTTTTTTGCACTAGTACTGGGCTTGAACTTAGAACCTGGGTGCCGTTCCTTTTTTAGTGAAAGTTGGTGCTCTATCACTTGAGCCAAAGCTTTTGGTGGTTAATTGGAGATAAGAGTTTCACCGACTTCTGTCCAGGCCAGCTATGATCCTCAGATGTCAGCCTCCTGAATGGCTAGGATTAAACAAGTTATCCATTGGCACACAGCCTGTTTTTCTTTCAAATTGCATCCACATATTCATATAGAAACACGTTTGTGATTTATTCCTATTTATTTTTGCAGTGTATCTTATGTGTTTATTCCTACACATGAGAATATCTCACTTATTTTAACCATTTTTTAAGACACATTTTTTCCAGTTCTTAAGCCACATCTCTATACTTCCTGCAGACTTGACTCTTGACGAGTATATGTTTATGTGTTGAGAATATCATGTCTACTATGTCTGCTCCAGCCCTTCATGCTACTCCAGTTCCCGAAAAACCCCCTCATCACCAGAATAAATACAGGAGCAGGGCTGAGGTCAGCTTTCAGTAGTTCACTAATCATATACCTGTTATTTGCTGGGCCCCTTCTGTGGATTCCTGAGCATTTCCTAGTTCTCCATACTAGCATTTATATCATGCACGTGGAAACTAGTCTTGCATTTCTGCAAAATGAATGGGGGTATGTTTGTTATCTACCAGGCTTTTCATGTGAGTGTGTGTGTGTGTGTGTGTGTGTGTGTGTGTGTGCATGTGCGTGTTTGCTCGCATACCCATGCCAGTACTATGGCTTGAACTCAAGGCCTGCGTGCTGTCATTTAGCTTTTTTGCTCAAGGCTGGCACTCTACCATTTGAACCACAGCTTCACTTCCAGCTTTTGTTTAATTATAGAAAAGAATTTCATGGACTTTCCTGCCTGGGTGATCTTCAAACTGTGAACCTCCCATCTCAGCCCTCTGAGTAGTTAGAATCACAGTTGTGAACCTCCAATGATCCAGCTCCTATTAGGCTTTTTGATCACTTCAACTCAGA